AGCCAGCCGTTTTCCACCAATTGCTGTCGCTCACCCGCTTCAGCAAATGGTGGACAAGTGGCTGGCATCGCGCCAAGTCTAGCCCCTATGACACGCCCCAGCATCCACACCGGACAAGAATATACAGGATTCAGCGCTTTAAGAGTGGCATGACTTCCCACTAAAAAGGCACGCAAAACTGCTTCAACTATTGAAATCTGTGCAGGACCCACCTGGAAGCAATCCAACACACGATGTGGTTCCGGAAATGTGCGATTACACAAGGATACGCTCACATCGATGCCGTCGCCATGTTGTACAAACACGAATGCCGCCCTTACTGACGCAGCTAATGACGGAAAGACGAACATCGTCCGAATTAGGGCCTCAGAAGAGATCTGTAAGAGCTATGGTTTATACAGGTGAGCCGGACATACCTGAGGCAAATCGACACAGCTTTTTCAGCTGGCGCAGTTCGGCTTCGAAGGGGTAATGCATGGCATCCAGCTAGGCTGTTTTGGCCACCCTGTGAAGACCTGCAGAATCCTGTGACAAAGTGGCTGACTCGCACCCGTCCGCAGCCTCACAAGAGTTTGCAGGTCTCATCTATGTGAGGCTTGTTATTAACATGAAGTAACAAAATGAACTAGCGAAAGACCTAAATGCCCCCTCCAAGCTGAGCAGCGACCCTAGACAACCGATTTTTCTTCACTCACACAAGGCGCAGTTTGTCGACCGGGGGCATTTGCACTTTTGCTACTTCCCATCGACGTGTCGGCCTATCTAGACAGCCTCTTCTCGAGTTGACAGGTTTTAAAATGATGGCTTGACTACTTTGTTCCAGCTTCACAAGAGGGTTCACAGGTTTCGCCAGAGTGAGACATGTAAACCGGAACTAAGGAAGCAATGATGGTACGAAATGCTCCCCCTCCCCAGCCGTCGACAAACAGCGCCCTCACACAATACTATGGGTGGCAGGCTTAACCCGAACTCTCAAGCTTACCCTAGCTACGTTTTACTTATCCTGTACGCATTGCTATGGGTAACCGATTCTTTGGACCCTTTACGTCTATTTTACTATGAGTAGCACGCTTTACCACACCTCGAACCTACCCTACCCTTACCCAGACGGAGGTGGTTTGGAGTGCCAAATGCTACCACGCATGGTATGCTTACCATGCGTGTCGCCAGGGGTTCTGACCCCCTATCTGCTCCCGCCCAGGCCAATCAAACCTTCTATCCTTCGGGGACGATAAACTGGTACTAGATCCGTGTGGGAGGATAAGAATGCCTTATATGCGTGGGCTACTGTGTCCCGCAATTCATTGTCTAAGTTATCGCATCAATAAGCCGCTACGATTCAGAATGGAGGCAGATCTCTCCCTCCCCCACCCCCCCCCACGCCCCCCAAACGGAGAAAATCAAGGAAAGGCCCCAAGGTTGTTTAGCTCACAAATTCTGGGGAAAATCCCCAATGCGTGGGGTAGGAGCGCATCCCGTAGTTGAAAAATTATAAATATAGGCAGCAAAAAGGAATAAGTTACATTTCAATAACATTAAGTAAAGAAACAACAGAAAACTCACTCTGTTGTTGCTGTTGACCCTATAAAAGGCAAAATAGACGGCATGTGATCGATAGACGACTCGAAGTGTGCACTTTGCGATAGATGACGGTAAGCAGGCTCGCGCTGAAACATTCTCGATTCCGACTCTCCAATTTCGAGTTTCGACTCTCTATTCCAGGTTTTGCCATCGTTGACGCAAAACCCAAACGCCCAGTCCACCGTGGCCGTATGGGTGGAGTCCGAGAACCATTCCACTGGAGAATCTCTCCTCTTAAACGTTTAAAGGAGGGAAGAGCATCAATGGGCCGAATACAATGTGTACGAGTCTCCGCCCATTCGGTTGTAGTGGAATGTGCCCTTGATTAAGCTCATAACGATACTTTTTCTAGGAACCCTCTCCATTTCTAACCTCAAGAAGCACACAGCCTTAATATTGCACCCCAGCTTTTGTGGTGGACCTCCCAAGCATAGACATTCCGCACAAACTTCTTGCCTCACAGAATATACGGGCCCTGCCGAGTTCGCGCACTTCGCTCCGGTTTCCTGAATCGGTTTCTGCCGCACCTGTTGTCAGCAGTTTTTTTTTCAGAGAATTTGGGGAGCGAGCAGCGCAAGCTTTTTGATCAATACTTATCCAAAACACGGAATAACTCGCCTAATCGCCAACTCTGAACCCTGGTAGCGTGAAAACCCTTTCACTCAATAAAGAGCACCTTCGAAACAGACTAACCTATGGATTGAAAAATCGTCACCGCTCCCATCATTGGGCCGTCCATCACTGTCGCAACGCTCCGTTGGACTGCCCATAACCGAGGAATCGCTCCTGTAAGTTGTGAGTTGATCACAATAAGGCCCCATAGGATAACTGCAACAGATCGCTCACCTTCTACACTGGTCGGCAACCGGAACGATAGCAGGTTCGTCTTGCAACGGTCGATAACTGGAGCTAATCCATGTGCGGTGCAAGGTGCTACGAACAACAAATCGGGCGGGTGGAGGATACCCTGAAACCAGTTATTTGGCCTGAATTATCCAATAGATCCTTAACTACAAAGAAATGCTTTGGGGGGAAGAGGGGGAAGAGGTGGAGAGGGAGGATTTTCGTACACTAAGCAATGGACCGACTGACTGCATGACAGAGAGCTGATTAGGGTAAGGGTAGTTGACCCGAGAGTGATAAGAAGACAATTCAAAAGAAAAGAATGTTCAGCGGCAGGCAGCCGACCAGGAAATCTTCGGAAACCCTTGATTCTTTTTGAGCAGTCTGGCTTAGAAAAACATTCCGTAATAAGCGAGTGGGCGGAGACTCATAAGCATTTCGCCTTTCTCACTGCTGTATCCGTCCTTTGAATGCAGCAAGCAGGACAGACGAACAAATGAGGAAGGCACAATGTTTATGCGTTGTGGGTCTCCGCCCACTCGACTGTCGCGGAATGCCTGCACAACTCTACTCCAACCTTAGGAGCAACGAAAATAGGATACCTGTTCTCGAAAATAATTCCTCAGTGAGCCAGCAATTAACGAGATGTATAGCTCAGAGGTGGTAGCACGTAGGAGTTTTTCGGCCCTCAGTAACAGTTCAGGATGTTTGACTGTCGTCCAACATCGGCGATGGAGGGCTGGCGGAGGCACTGTAATGGGCTGTCTCGGAAATCGAAATTAGTCAATAATAGCTGGATTCAACAATTCGGCAAAGCCATATTCTTCTCACAAGGAAGAAATCCTGACAAAGAGAGGAATATAAATGCCATAAGCTTCTTGGCAATATGCCAAGTTTAGATAACTACGACCCACCATTTCTGAGCAATGACGAACCACGTTGAATGTGGTGGGCGGGACTTTTCCCATCGGAGGCGGAGTCATCCGGAATAGGGTCCATTAGAATCGACGACGATCCTCGGTGTGTTAATGGCTTCGGCCCTCTTCTAAATCGAAATGTTCCTAAAACTGCTCATGAATCGATTTATTGATTGTGCTGACCGATTCTTTGCAGGTATGTGATCCTTGGATTCCAGATATTTCCAAACAGGGTTTTGTCCTCGTAATGCTAGTGATAACAAGGAGAATGGGCCACCCACAGCAAACTGAAAACTAGAGTTGTGCAAAAGAATCAAAATAATATCCAGAAAACATTCGATACCAATCAATATATCGATCTAAGATGCCAGAGCGACTCACCTTAATGGTCATGCAGATCGCGGTGTGCACAAAATTACCGAATACATGCGCTTGCCAACCCTGTAGAGAGGTATGAGGTTCCATCTGAAAATATCAGGATATTTATTTATTTCCATACACTCGAGGTGTGCACATAAAAAACTATAAAAAATACACCGTGAAAGGACCATGGCAGAAACTACAGATGGGCTCGACGCATTAAAGGAACCAAGAACCTGACATCCGATAACAAATATGATATCACGAAAAATGAGGTACAAATCGTTAGTGAATCGAAGCTTTCAGCAGCAGAAGAAGCCGGAATAGTACGGGATTAGGAGCTGGAGTGAGGGGAAAAAGAAAGGCACTAAGCCTTGGAAAAATA